TTTTTATCTATCAATATCTTACTTGGACTCGAGTAGTTCATATATAATATTATAATTACGCTTAACATATAAATTGAAGCTTTCTCTCGCGCATTTCTTCTTTATTCACATTCACAATCTTCTCTCTCACTCTCTCTCTTTCTGTTTGCTTTACTCTCTTTCTTTCACACACCAGTCTCTTGCTCTGGGGCAGCGCATAGGAAATGGGTCCGAAGAAGCGTTCCAGCGTTGCTGAGCGCCAGCAGCGCGCCACAAATGCTGCTGCCGCTGCGACGTCGGCAGCGACGTCAACGGCAGCGACGTCAACGGCAGCGACGTCGACGGCAAAGAAGCGCAGCATTGGCAAGCAGCAGAAGCTAATGGACGAACCGGATGATAAAAAGAGTAGCAAAGCCGAAGCAGCAGCAGCAACAACAACAACAACAGCAACAACGTCAGCAGCAGCAGCAGCAAAGCGACAGCAGCAGCAGTCAACGGCATCAAGTGCAATAACAACAACAACAGCAGCAGCAACAGCAACAGTTGCTGCTGCAACAACAACATCGACAACAACAACGGCAGCTGATAAAGCCAGCAGCTCGACGACACTGAAACTGTCCGCAGAGGAGCGGCAGGAGGATGGGAAGGCGCGAGCCATCAACAAGATGCTGAAGAGTCTGGACATCAAGATCCATGGCTTTGACAATCTGTTGCCCAGCGGCGAGGAGCGCATAGGCGAGGGCCTCAAGTCTTCCATATCGGAGAACGTGAAGACGAAATCGCGGGCGGCGGCGGTCAAGGTGATAGCCAGCCTGAATCCGGGCAAGCCGTTCAATGTGAAGCGCCAGCGGGTGGACAACGAGTCGAGCCGAGCGGAGAGGGAGCGCGAAAGGGAGAAGGAGAGGGAGCGCGAAAAGGAAAGGGAAAAGGAGCGTGAAAAGGAAAGAGAGAAGGAAAAGGAAAAGTCCAAGGAACCGGAGGCAGTATTAGGTGAGCCAAAGGATGCTCATTGCGATAGCAAAGAATCTCCCGGCGCCAAGGGTGCCAAACAGTCGTCCAAGAAGGCCAAGCTGGAGCCGCCGACGAGCGGCAGCAAGGGATCAAAGGCGCCGCCCAAGAAGCAGCAACAGACGCCAACGTCGCAGGCGGCCGAGACGCCGGCAGCGAAAAAGGAGAAGCTGCGCGCTGCAGCAGCTGTGGCCAGGGGTGGCAAAAAGTTGCAAGCAGCTGCAGCTGCAGCAACAACAACAACTCCAGGTGAAACCGAGTCCAGTAAAGCCAAGACACGCACCCAGCTGGACTCCAATACGGAGCTGGTACAGATGGAGCTGGAGGAGATCAATACCACACAGGCGCCTCTAGCGGCAGCCACGCCCACGCCAGCCCATACGCCCACGCCGGCAGCTACACCCACGCCCGCAGCCACACCCACGCCCACGCCGACGCCGACGCCAACGCCCACACCCACGCGCACACCCACACCCGCATCCGCATCCGCATCCGCATCCACGCCCATTGAGTCAACGCCCACGGGCAGCAGCGCAGCAGCCGCCACAGCGGCGTCGGCCAAGCAGCGGCCCAAAATCAAGTACAGTAAAACATCGGCGAGCAAGGCGCGACTGCAGCAGGCCTGCAGCAAAACGGCGCTCGCCAACCTGAACGCGGCCAAGGATATTTACGACTTCAAGTCGGGATCGGAGGACGAGGAGCCGATCAAAATGGTGCTGCCAACGCTGAAGGAGCTGCGCGACTTTTCCGACGAGGACAACAAGCCGCTGAAGCAGCTCGAGCAACGGCTGCTGGCCAAGGAGGCCAAGGAGGTGAAGGAGTTGAAGGAGTTGAAGGAGTTGAAGGAGACGGCGGAGCAGACGACGGCAACTGTTGCAGCTGTGGAGGCGCCGCCTGAGCCGCTGCCCAGCGCTGCCAAGGGCGGCAATAAGAAGCAGATTAAACGTAAGCCAAATACGCCCACGCCAGCGCCGGCAGCGGCAGCGGTAGCAGCAGCAACAGCTGCTGCAACGACGACAGCAGCCGCTACAACAGCAACAGCTGCTGCTGGCAAAAAGAAGCCAGCGGGCGGAAAAGCGAAGCAGCCAACGCCGCCGGCAGCGGCCAGCGAGAGTTCCCGCTCGGAGAGCAGCGACTCGGAGGACGAGAAGAAGCTGAGCAGCTACGGGGCGAAGCGGCATCGCATGGCCTCGCTGAATGCGCTGGCCAAGGTGCAGTGCCTCTACGAGAACGAGTCGCGCACGGCCCACGAGCTGGGCCTGTCGAAGGCGACGCAGCAGCCGCCGCGCATACGGACGCTGGACGGCAGCGATGATGACAACAATCGCGGCGATTTGCCGCCGGACAAGGATAAGGACAAGGATAAAGACAAGGACAAGGACAAGGACAGAGATCGCGATCGAGACAAGGATAAGGATAAGGGCAAAGATCGGGATAAGGGCGATGCGGAGAAGGCCAATGTGGCTGTGGTGGAGCCACGGCGAGAGCTGCGCCATGTGACGGGTGGCCGTGGCGTGGGCAAGCACTGGGAGCTCGATAGCGACAGCGAGGCGGAGGAGCTGCAGCTGCAGCGTTTCCAGCAGCAGAAGAAGAAGAAGCTGCAGAAGAAAGCGCCCGCCAAGAAGCCCAACGACACAGAGTCGAAGAAGAAGGCGAACAAGAGGGTTCAGCTGGAGGACAGCGACGATGCGGACGAGGACAAGGACAGGGACAAGGAGAAAGACAAGGAGAAGGATGACGACAAGAGCAAGTCCAAGGACAAAGACAAAGACAAGGACAAGGAGAAATCGAAGCCGCCACCCAAGCAGCTGCCCAAGAAGCGGAAAAGCGCCTTCCACGAGGAGCTGATTGGCGACTACAAGGGCATATTGGCGCGCAAGCGCATGGCCAGCCTGAATGCCAGCGCGATTGTGGCGGCCACGTACGAGGTGGAGCGGCACTTGGATAAGAATCTGGCCAGCGATTGCAGCAGCTTCGAGAGCTACGACGAGCTGGAGATTAGCAAGCCGACGGTGACAAAGGCATCCGCATCCGCATCCGCATCAGCATCGGCATCCGCATCCGCGTCAGCATCGTCGTCTAGCAAATCGAATGCGTCGAAGGCAGCGCAAGCACAGCAGACCGAGGTGCTGCACATCAAGAAGGAGCCAAAGGAGCCGAAGGAAACGCGCGAATCGAAGGAGGCCAAAGAGCTGAAGGAGCTGAAGGATGCGGCGCTGAGCAACAAGCCGCAGAGCAACATGATCGAGGAGAGCAACGATTCCAAGTACTCCAAGGAGACGAAGGAAACGAATACGGATACCACCATCACAACGACTGGGTATCGCGGCGACTCGAGCAGCGCCAAGGATGCCAAGGACTGCAGCCGTCCGACCTCATCCAGTGTGGTCATCGTCCAGGACACGGACGTCACCATCACCGGCGTCTATGTGAATGCCAGCAACGGCGCCGCCCAGGAGGCCTACTGCAAAATGCAATATCGTGTTCAGTCCAGCGTCACCGAGGAGCGGCTGCTGCGACCCGGCTCCGTGGAGCCACCCAAATCCTATACGCCGCTCAGCGCACTCTCCAGCATGCTGCCGCCGGGCGCCAGTTCCGGACTCAGCGAGGGTGAGTACAATACCTGACAATATCTTCATAATCTGGGTGATTAATTGGATCCATTGGTTCTCGTTTATGCCCTGTGGAGCCAATGTCCTTTATAGCAAAATTCGAAATTCTATAAATTTCACACGATTCCATATTTGAGATTTGGAAAATCTAGCTCTAAAAATGCAGGAGCTATAATTTTATAACTAGTTTGCGATACGGTTTTTAATCGCTAACAAAATAACGGGAGTAGTAATCGATTTTTGGAAATAAACTCTATATGTGTGTGGTATATACAGACCTACAAAAATAATATCAAGTATCTAGATTTTATATCTTCTGAGATCGACGCGTTCATACATACGGACGGACGAACGAGCGGGCGGACGGAAGTACGAACGAACGATGGAACGAAAAGATAGACAGACGAACGAAAGGACAGTCAAACAGAGAAATAGATATGGCTAGATCTATTCGGCTCATCGCCCAGATCAAGAATATATAAATTTTATGGGGTCTGCCCAGCCGCCTTCTGCCAGTTACATTTCATTTCGAGATTTCCCATGTTCAATGGGTTCAGGGTATTAAAAATAAATAAAACTAATTCATTTGCAATTTTGACATCCAGAAAGATCTCAAACTTTCTCTCGCCAAAGATGAGATCAAAACAAGATGTGGCATATATATATATATATATCTGTATATCTATCCATCTACTATATATGTGTGGAATCTTTTTAGACAATTATTATATATATAATAATTGTCTAAAAAGATTCCACACATATATAGTAGATGGATAGATACACAGACAGAGGAGTATTTGTGGACTGAGTTCACTGTAGTTCCAGGCTCTTAATTACAGTTACTTTTAGTTGATTTGAACTTAACTTTTAACTGCATAATATTAGCTGAAAGCACGAAAAATTACCATATATGATTTTGAAAATGAGCGGAAACCCCACTGACTCAATCCCAGAATCATAATCCTCCCATCATCATTAGACCTGTTGATAGTATATGTACATATCTGATATCCGCAGATAATACCCATTGATAATATATACAAATGCATACATATATGTACAGGGTTGTCCATATTCGACGGACCCATCTCCCTCATCCCGTATATCTTCTGACAGAGATGCCAGATCGCTCATTAATATGCCGAATTGTCCAAGCTGATTTTTCCCATATATATAAAAATTATTCTCTGATCATTGATAACACTTACTATATCTATCTATCCCCTATCTATATCCTTCCACAGCTCACAGCTCGCCGCCGTTGCCAGTGCAGGCGCCGGCTCCGCATGTCCTGCTGCCCGGCGAGCCGCTCAGTGCGGGCATGTACCATGCCCCGGATCTGGGCCTGCATACGGAGCACATGCCGCCGGATCATCATGGACCGCCGCCGCCGTCGTATGCAGCCGCTGCGGCTGCTGCGGCCGCTGCCGCTGCCGCCTACCACGCCCACCAGCTGGCGCCCGCGGGCAGCGGCGTGCTGCACATGCACCATCAGCATCAGTATGCGGCCGCCCATGCGGCGCATGCGGCGCACGCCCATCACTACCAGCAGGCGGCCGAGTATCATGGCGGTCCGCCACCGCCGCCGCCTCATCACTACGGCGGGCCGCCGCCCCAGGGGCATTACGGTCCGTTGCCGCCGCCGCCGCAGGTGGGTCCGCCGGCCGTGCCGCCGGACCGCTGTGACGTTGGCTCACCGCCGCCCTCGTATCGGGCGAGTGCATATCCGCCGCCGCCGCCCGCCGGAGTGCCACCGACACTGGGCGGCGGCTCGAGCGCCTTCTGTGCGCCCAATCCCCATCATCATCATCAGCAGCACCAGCAGCAGCCGCCCCCGCATCATGATCCCAGCGGTAAGTCCCCAGCTACAAAGCGACCAATATTTTCCACATACAAAACTTTATCCATGGTTGGCCAAAAAACCCCCCGAAAAAAAAAATATACAAAAAAATCAATTTCAAATTTCGCCTTTTGTTATATTCGTTAACAAGGGAAGGGTATCAAAAGTATGCAGACGTACGAACTATATGCAATACCCAGATGGAACTATTCGACTGTGGGCTAATACGCATACAACTACATATGCACGTGTAAATATTTCGAGTGTGTTCCATTTCCAATTTGTTTCACATGAAATGGTTAAATCGTATCAATACTATTCAGAAATGATTTACTTGATGTGTGTTCCATTTCCACTTTGTTGCACACAATCTAAGGAAGACGTTCTTTATGTATTTATGGAATCTTATATCTTTATACTATGTAAAAGGCAGCTCTCTGTATACCATGCTTAAAATCTGTGCCATTTTCAATTTGTACCACTAGAATACAACAACAATAAACACATTTAAAATGGTAGTGGGAATTTTCAAGTTGCTTATAATACATGTTTGTATTATACATATATACATACCTTTGAAGTTGTTCCATTTCCATTTCATTTCCAAGTTAACCCAAGTTAATCGAGATGCTTTTTTATGTAATTGACTACTGTATTTGATCTATAATATATATACACATTATAAAAGAAGCTATATCAGCTTATATATGTCCATATAAGTGTTCTATTTCCACTTTGTTTCCCATGTAATTAGTACATATTTTTCGCTAGATACATAAGAGAATCCGTAGTACATTTTAGAATAATATAATTTTGGCTGTTCCACTTCCATTTTGTTTCTCAAGTCCTGATAGCCTGATATATATAAATTTGTTAAGCTATATGTATATATTTACTTATGTATGTGCTCATTGTCAATTGTCACCAAACTAAATACCATACGCTCGCTCTTCTTCTATCTCTTTTGGCCGTATTTTGTCAATAAACGCTTCAGGCTAAGCTCGATGGCAAATAGTACTAGAAATAGAGAGCATTTGGCTTTCGACAACAAATGGCATTCTCAGTTTTCAGTTGGCAAAGGGCCAAAAACTTGAACATTGTCTTGCCACGCCCCGCATGCCACGCCTGCATTGATTTCAGTTATCAGCAAACAATGAGCGGCAATTTCTGGTGTTTCCAAAAAGTTTTCAACACAACGCAGAACTTGGCCCGATTGCCCGCCAGGCGATGCCCACTTTTTGGCTCTGATTAGTTATTAAAGAGCCTTGCCAAAGCTTTACGAACTTCAAGGGTTATACGAATGTGTGTGTGTGTGTGTGTGTGTGTGTGTGAGCGTCTTGTGTGTCTGTGTTAGTTGCCATGGGCAGTGCTCATCTGCAGTGCTTGGAGATGGCTGCTTGAAAATGTAAAGAAAAAAACAACGGTGCATATATTTAGGCGCGCGCATAGAAACTGAAGCTGTGTGAATGTGTGTGTGAGTGTGTTAGTGTGTATGTAAAAGTGTTGGCCAAAGCCGGAAACTGTAAGCAGGCGAGCAGCAAACGGAAACCGAGACCAGAGACCAAAGAATGCAAGCAAAAAGTAAACACGCTGCATTCGCTCCCGCTGCCGCTGTCGCTGCCTCAGTCGCCGTCGCCGTCGCCGTCGCCGTCGCCGTCGCTGTCAGCAGCAGTTAGTGCAGCTAGCGACGGCAACTGCGGAGTCAGCCAACCTCCATTGATGTCATTTACCTTTTGGTACAGACACACACACACACACACACACGCGTACACACATACATATATATACCATATAAATATAGTCATATATACATACATATACATATAGCAACACCAGAAAAACTATGCGCCATGGATTTAAAGCCAAGCTAACACTGTCTAAATTTCAGCAGCTGTAGATGATTTATTGAGTGGATTGGCCCAAGGTTAATGCTTGGTGCTTTAGTTATCGCTGTCTATCGATAGGCAAATCGATTATTTATAAGCGAAAAATAGTGAAAGGCCGTTCTCGCTTGATCTATGACCAAGGTCTTGATTAATTATTTATGCATCGATTTATCGATTATTATTATTCTTTTAACACTTCCCACGCCCTTTGCCCCGCCATTCGATCAATAAGTCATAAGCTTATGACACATGTGCGGTGTCAATCAGTTTAAAAATTGATTCATGATGACACGTTTGTGCCTGCGTTTAGAGCGCTTGCAGTCGTCCATTAAGCTGTTATTCAGTTGGTGTTGATTGCACTCAAACACACGCACACGCACACGCACACACACACACACTCTCTCTCTCGCTTCGTTCCTCTCGCACGCCCACTCTGTTAAGTAGGCTAGCGTTTCGATTGTCCCACATACACACGCATGTATGTACGTATGTATGTGTGTTTGCATTTGTATATATATATACTTGTTGTATGCACATATATGTATGTCTGTGCATGTCTTTCATTATAATCCTCACATCCATTCATTTATCCTTGTCCATTCGTCGCCATGTCAGCCGTAACTGTTTGCAGTTTACGCTTTGCCGACAGTTGATAATTCATTAGCACATGTTCTATTTGACGTTCGTTCATCCATGCTGAAGCGCGCGCACACAGACACGCACACACACACACAGACACACACACATGCACGTACGTAAAATTGAGAGCGCAATGCGCTGCCGTTAGTCCTGACGCCCTGACGCCCTCAAAAAGCTGCGGTCGCTGCCTCTGCTTCCTTTGGCTGCTGCGTCTCTGTTACAAACTGCTGTTAAGCGCCAGAGGGACAGAGACAGAGAGAGCGAGAGAGAGCATAAAAGCGTCCAGAGAGTGCAGCAGGGATAGTTTTGTTGGTTTTTTTTCTTCATATTCTTTTTTTTTTTATTATTATTATTCTTTCTTATTTTTTTTTTTGATAGTGCCGGTTGCCCGGCGTCGTCTGCGTCGAGTTACGTTTTAGTGCTCATTTAGACGTCGGGACGACAACGTAACGTAACGAATCGGCGACGGCAAACGATGCCGACGACGCGCTTATGATGGTGTTTATCGTATGATGAGCGGGCGAGTCATGAATTGCATTGCGTATACGTAACGTGTGCCGCGCGTGCTGTTCACAGATAATTGTTGTTGTTATTCTTTTTCTTTTTTTGTTGCTGTTCTGTCTGTTATTGTGCTATGTTTTGTTGTATCGCATATAGCTGCCAGCAAGTCAACAACAACAACAACAACGATATTTACAAAAACAACAAGAGCAACAACAAATGGCAATTATTGTCATGCCTGTTCGCTACTTTTGTCGGCTTGTTTCGGTTGCCGTCGTTGTTGCTGCTATTATTTTAATTGTTATTAAACAAATGCCGCAGATTGTAAATCACATACGTACGTACGTGAATATGTATGTATGTATGTATGTATAAAATTATATGTGTGTGTGAGTGCTTGAAAGAATACTCGTTGCCGCGCGCGCCGCCCCGCCCAAAATGCCGGCCGGTTTCATGCTTCGTGTTTCGCTGTCCGCGTGTTGCAGTCGGCTGATTCGAATCCAGGAGCCGCCATCGCCGCAGACGTTGAATGCCCCAAGCTTAGTGCTGACCGCAGATCTAATTAGCGTTGCATTTTTCAGTTAATTTTAATTGAGGCTGATTTATAAACAACGCAATTTTTTAACTGCGCCGCGTTATTCTCCTTCCCACTTCTGCCATCACATAGAAAAACACACACTCTGTCTTTCTCTCTCTTTCTGCCTCTCTCTCTGTTTTTTTTTTTCCCCGCTTACGCTTGTTTTGTTGCTACAGAGGTTTTTTTTGTGTGCATTCCTTCTATTCTATTGAGAAAAAGATAGAAAAGCATCCGGATGACGACATTATTGCGATTGCGGCTCAAAATTCTCTTCGTGTATGAAAAACAGGCGACAACATTGTCGTAAGCGTGGCAAATGAAACAAAATGAAATGAACAAAATGAATATATATTATCTTGAAGCATTTATTTAATATTACAAAAAAATATTT